CACACCCTGCAGAGTTCACATTTCACACACTGCACCGACTGGTACGCACAAAATAACTCCCCGCTCCACCCCCCACCCTCCACCCGTGCTCACATTTTCTCCATGTCAGTGAGTCTCTGATCCTCAGTTTTCTGTTTCTTCTCTCGTCAGTTTTTTCTCCTTGTCATGTTTTTTTTAAATGAACTTTTTCTGCCTTTATTTGACTTCTGTCCTCTTTCTCTGAACATTCAACAATCAAACATCAAAGAAAGAAGTCGGTGTGCCTGTGTTCACAAATAACTGTGCTAAAATCCAGCTTCAGACTGGGAGGTTTTTCTACTCTTAGCTCTTTATGATGTCACAGAGAGAACCAATATTTCCCTGTTTATGACCACAGGGGCCCCAATAACAGATCAGCACCCCACTCTGAAATGGATGGATGGATGGATTCTCACCTCTAACTGATAAGAGCCAGCTGAGGTGGTCTGGGCATCTGATTAGACTGCATCTGGGGCAGCTGGCTTTTGGGAGGAGCCCTGCCCTCAGGACCATCCAGGAGGAACTGGGAAACATTGCTTGTCATGGTACTGGGCCATGAGGCCCAGGGTTTAAGTTCTAATGCATATTTTTGTATCCACATGTGTAGTTTAACGCATCTAGTTGTTTTCTAGTTTGCAGTTTGGTTTCTTAGTCCCTTTTGTCATCTCTCCCTGGTCCGTGTGTCTACCTGTCATGTTTCATGCCTCTGGTTAGGTTAAGTTCATGTTCTATCTCCATGTCTGTCTCTGTGTTTCCTGTTTTATTTTGAAAGAGTATGGTGTTCATTGTAGTTAGTGTTACTCTCCCCTGTATTGCCATTAGGTTTCATTCTAGTCAGCTGTGTCCTCATGTGTCTCCACTTCCCCTGATCACCTCATGTGTGTATTTAAGTCCTCGGTCTTCCTTTGGTCGTCGCCATGTCGTCTGTTCAACTTCCCCCGTGTTACGCCAGGTTTCAGGACTCTGTGCTGGTCATGTCCATGTTACTTACGTATATACGTTTCATAGTTCCTTGTTGTTCCAGCACAGAGTCCTGTTCACAGTTGCCTCCGTCATGTGCATCATTGTCAGTTCTTAGTTTTCCCAGTTCAGCTTTGTTTAGTTTTGTCTCGGTGCTTTCTGTTGTTTGCCACGTTAATCAGCCCAAATAAAGGCTCGCTTTTCGTTTCAAGTTCGGTACTGTCTCCTCGTCTGTGTCTGCACCTGGAACCTCACACTCCCACGCTCGGTCCGCCCACAGCAGACCGTGACAATCGCTGGAGTAAAATGCGTCTAGCTTACCTCGTTCAAACTGATACGACTGCAACTGCTTCGCCTACCATCTCTGTCCCTTCAGACGCCTTCCTGTCGGTCAATGACAGGTTTGTACCAGAGTTTCCCAGAATTCAACAGATTCACATCGAGTCACTGATGAGCTGACACTGATTCAGTTTGTGACATATGTACTGTAGTCTTTTAAACAGCGACATGTGTTTCTTAATCACTTTTTGTTATTTAGATTTCTTTTTACTTTTGGATTTGCAGTAAAATTTGTACAAAAGTACTTCACTGTCAAAACATTCAGTATAGAGGAAAGGACGACCTTCTCTCTTGTTTCTATGAAGGATGATGGCTGTATTTAGAGCATCCTGACCCATGTCTTACGTTGGACTTACATATTTCATTTATAGGTTTTTAAATACTGTAAAATAACATCTTAAGTTCAGGAGAACTTCATGGTAAATATTATGATTTTGATTCATTCCCAAGTGAAACCCTGTGTTACAAAGTGACGATTTCTTGCTACGATCTTCAGTTCAGACTTTATTTTCCAAAAAAGGAAACTTTGCTGCAACATCACGATTTTCTTCACAGCCCAAGTTTAGTTTTTAGACCTGAGGCAGTTTGTCTTTTTTCACTCAGGCTTAAAAATGAACTTCTTAGTCTCAAGAAAGCAGTGTTTCAGTTTTACTGAATGAAATTCTAGTGTCACTTGGCACTAATTAACTGTGTGATGCACCCACGTAAACACCAAAGTATTTGTTTAAGTGACATTGTCTTTGAGTTGACTCATCAAGGCTGCTCTACTTACACGAGTCAGCGAGGTGCTTAACTTCATACCGACAGGCAGCCTCATCATCATTTGTGTGACTGAGTAGTGAGTCTACTTGACTATGATGATGAGTCTGAAGTATCTGCACAGTCGTAGGTGTAAGGAGGATCCAGCAGAGGACTCAACACACAACCTTGAACCACCTGTGGTCTGCTAGTCAGGAAACTGAAGACTCGCCTCGAGGGTGGGGGAAGGCAGGCCAAGGTTAGTTTAGTGGCCAGCCTGAAGTGAACTACTGCATTAAGTGCTGAACTGGAGTCTATAAATAACAGGCTAACATGAACCCCTCTGCTAGTGCCCAAATTGGATAGAGTTGAGTAAGTGGGCTATGGAGTCATCTGTGGATCTGTGGGGACGTATGCAAATTGTAAAGCTCAGGCAAGGAGGAAGTGTTTAAGGTTCTGATCTCGCTTTATCTCTACAAACATCAAGGATCTAGAAGCAACGGTCATTTAAACTGCTGGGGGCGGGGCTTTCTTAGGAACTACGTCTGTTTGATGCATGTGGGGATGATGCAGTCGTTGAATATGTCCAACACGTTCTCACTCCCAAAGCGTAACATTTTACGCTAGGTGACAAATCGTCAACATATTACGTTTTCGGCTACCCACCACGTTCCTAAATGACGACCTCGGAAAAATGAGGAAATATGAAAACCGTATGGACTCAATCTACACATGTTCGCTCTTTTTCTT